CTGCTCGGCGTTGGCGCCGCCGGTCGCTGCCACTGCCCGCCCATCCTCCTCCACCACCGCGCCCTGCTGGCGACGGCGGCCACCCTTGCTCCAGCTCCGCCCGCTCGCCTCCTCGGCCGGACGGCGGACACGGGGCCGCTGCCACGCCGTCGACCCCGAGGAGGACGATGGTTTCCTCACCCTCGACCTATAGGACTTCGAGGGGCTTGCCGACGAGGAGGCGGAGGAGGGCCCGTCGCCGTGGGACGGCGTGGTGGTGTACCGGCGCGACGCGGCTGCGCAGCACATCGAGTACGCCACCACCCTGGAGCGCCTCGGCCTGGCCGACCTCTCGTCCCAGCACTCCCTCGCGCGCGCCGCGGCCATGGGCATCGCCAGCCCTAGGCTACCGCGGGGCAGCGCCGAGGACACGGCCACGACGACGCCCGTGCTGGTCTCCGTCGACGTGACCCGGCGCCGCGGCCGGCTCCGGGTGAATGGCATCCTGCGCACCGTCATCGCCCTCGGCTGCTACCGGTGAGCACCCTCCTCCTCCTCCTCCTGCTGCTGCTTCTCGTCTCATCTTATCTGCTGTTGCTATATGTCTGTCTGCCTGCAATGCATCATGGACAGAAGTTTCAGAGCCATTCTGAAAAGGGTCTGTCTAGAACACATCTAGACGTGACATAGTTTTTTTCCCCTTGTTGTTACGTTATTTGTGAGAGATTAGATGTGATATTCCTAAAAAACATCTAGATGTGAATTAGACAAACTGTTTTGAAAATCTTAGACACCGCATTCTGAATCCTACTACCCATTAAACAATGTACATCATAGCTCTAATTGCGTGCTAACAGCTTAGCAATGACCAAGCATCTGCTGCCCGAATCACTAGCACCGCCCCGTTGTTACTGCCACGCGAGTGCTTATCCGCCCGGCCGCCACACTTGTGAAACCATGCCGCTTACCGTTTACAAACAGCCTACAGGGTTTCAAACTGCCACATTTCATAGCTAGCAGTAAGGAAAAATTAGCCGCTCGACGAAGTTTAATCTGTCATCCTAGGACTAAGGGAAGACATCATGTACAATCTGGCAGTAAGGAAAAATTAGCCGTGACATTATGATATAGTGTGCTATATTTTTCCAAGCAAGAAAAGTTGCGCTGTTTCTCGTAGAGTAGTGTTTCCTTTTTGTTTGCTTAAAGGCATCATATATGCTGATCTTTCAGTTGGAGCTGACATGGTGACATGTACTGAAGAATTTGCCAGAGATGATAAGCAGTAAGTTATAGTCCGAATAAAATGTAAAACATGGAGATACTATGGTTCTAGTACCGCAACTGATGTAGCTACATCTGACTTCAGTAATCCGTGGACAATATTATTAGCAAGGCTGTTATTGGTCATTAGATCCATTGTTGGCTGTTAAAGGGGGATACTATATTCTGGCATTTTCGATATGGAAATACTCTGTTTCTAGTTAATTGCAACAAAATCGACTCTTTTTGGAAGAACCGCAGCAGAGTTTTTCTCCTGATAAAAATAACATTAATTCTGTTTATGGCCTGAATTTCGACTTGGCTGATTTGAGGGTGCAACTTAACAGTGTTGTTGTTTGTTCTTAAACCCATTATGATCATGCTTCCTTTTTCAGGTGTGCCGAGCCAGCTGCTGAAGGCATATTCGCGAACTTCTCCCTCATGGTCCAGGAACCCGATGTGATCGACCTCGGCACCGTGTACGAGGAAGACAGAACCAAGTTCCCTTCGCTGGCCGGCAGCCAGGACGAAGACGACGAGGACATCGACTGGGATGACCGCCTGCATTTCCCGGCCGGGGAGAAGGAGATCGACATCTCGAAGAACTTCCGGGACATCATCCACCTAGAGATCACGCTGGATGCCTTCTGCAGCAGCACCTGCAAAGGCTTGTGCCTCGTCTGTGGCGCGAACCTCAACACGAGCAGCTGCAGCTGCGGCACCGAGGAGTCGTCGCAGGCCAAGGACGCCGGGCTGCCGGGAACCTTCAGAGATCTGCTGAAGCCTATGCATAGAAGATGATGGTGATGATGCAAACAGTGCATATGTAGGTATCTTGGAACCTGTGTGATAGTCTCTAGGATTGTCATGGGCAAGATATGCAGCCTGGTGGAAATGCGAACACTCAATGGCGACGATATAGGGGAACTAGACAGGCGACATTTGAGTCATGTGTCATGCTTCGCTGCACCGACGGTGCAAATCTGTTTTTCTGTTCCTTAGAAGTTCATGATTATCATTTGTATATTGTATTGCCTCATCTTACTGTTCTGAAAGTAGAAGCCTGCAATGCAATGCCAGGATGTTATGTTGTACTGCAAAACTTTTGTTTGAGATTTCTTTGCCCTTTTAGGGTTCTTTGGGAGGGGATCTCTTTTTGTTTCTCTGTTTTATCTTTTTACCGAAAATCATCTAACCACTGAGGACCATCATGTGACATAAACATGTGAAGTCTAAAACAAAGAGAAGAAAATGGAGCAGACAAGTGGAAATCTGAAACAAACAGAAGGACAGGGAGCAGGCAAGTGTATGTGCTCGGCTGGAATACAAATCAAACAAATTGTATACAAATATATAATACGCAGCCAAACTGAAGGTAATAGGAATAAAGTTGAACAAAAGATCATGTAGCTGTATGTGAGGTTTGGTAAACAATCACACCTGTCCAGCAGCCATGGTCGCGGTTGGCGGGGACGCACACCCTCTGAGGAACTGCAATACGGCAGCCGAGCAACACTGCGCTGAGTCTGCTGCGTTGAAACGGAGGCATGAAAGCCAATTACAGGGACCAAGAAGGATAGCCGACTGACATGAACATAATGGGGCGGTACAGCTGCAAGGGCACGGAGTCCGACGATCGCGGATGGACGAATGCAACATGGGTAAAAAGAAACCCACCATGAGGGGCTGCGGGGGAAGAATATAGGTACCGACGCCTACGTACACGTACTCGCCGGCAGGACGTAAGACAGCGGTGGCGCTGACAAACAGAGGTAACTCGGGGGAGAGAGCTGGGGGAAAAGGATTCGGATAGATAAGGTAGGGATTAGTTTTTTTTTTCCTTTTTCAGATCAGGGTGGACAACTGGAGGCTGCACACATTTCACTGGGCTTTGTGGGCCTTCGAGCTGTACGGCCTGTTTACGCACAGAACGTGTAGCTCATTCCGCGGACCAGTGGCCCAGGTAACGCTGGGCAGGCCACGGCAGGAGATACAAAGTTTACGCAAACAACGATGGACGATCGAGCTAATCGTTAGCGTATGTCAGAGTGGTCGGATGGCTGGGAGTTTTAAATCGCTATGGGGGCTCCTAGGTAGCCTCGTTATACTGTTTCTCAATATGGATTACCAAAGGGAGTATCGGGTATGGCTCACAAGACCTCATGACGTGCCACCTCTTTAAAAATCTAATTGTATGAATGAGGATCCTGCATTTTCTCTGACGAAATTAGGGTTCATCACGGCCATGGCCGACATGGCCTCCTTGCTCGCGCACTCGCAGTAGATCTTGCCCTCCACCCAGTGCTGCTCCATGAGGAACAGGTTGTACCGATGTCCCTTCTTCGCATGTTGGAACACCGACAAAGGCGCTGGCCCAGGGTGCACCTCCGCCATGGCGGTGTTGTACCGCGCATGCGCCTGCTCCATGGTGAAGATGACGTGCACATGAGGCGCAGGAGCCGGGACGGTGTCGTCGAAGCCCGTCTCCATCGTGGAGTTATCCTCGTCGTCGGAGACCTCGGGTGAGCTGGCCGGCAAGCCAGCCTCATTTCGCCTGGCATGCCGGCTCTGCCACGCGACGGCAAGGGCGGCCACCGCGTGCTTGATCTCTAGTGACAGACTGTCCCACAGAGCATTCCTGCTCGCGGTCATGGTGGTTGTCCGCCCGTCCCGTCATCTCTCAGACGGCGAGCCTGCTTAATGACGTCATACAGACGGACAGGGCATAGAACCGCCGTAGTAGATATCTGTCCGTCCCATCCAGTAATGCGTCTCCGACATTGAACAGGCGCGAACACCAGAGACGCTCGTGGGCGGCGCACTCGGTCGACGCGCCGCTTCAATGGCGGAGGCAGCGAGAGGTCGCGTCCGCCCTGAGCTGTCTTTAATGTGGAGCGGCGCACTCTACATCGCCATTAATGCGGGCAGCTGGCACTCTACATCGCCATTAACGAGGGGTTTGTGTGAGCCAGGGTGGTTAGAAGTGGGCTTGGGAGCGATCCGGACACTAGCAAAGAGTTCGGTAAATTACTAAATTGAAAAAAATCACAAATTTGATAAAAGAGTTTGAAAAAAAGTTCACGAATTTAAGGAAATATTTACGAATTTGAAAAGTTCACAGTTTTAAGAAAAGGTTCAAGATTTAAAAATAGTTTGTGAATTTTGAAAAAAAGAAAATAAATAAAAAATAAAAAGACAGGGGAAACGAAAATAAAAATAAAAATACGGCATTTCAAAATTGTTCCTGCTTTGTTCAGTAAAAGTTTGAAAAAAAAATTAGAAAATATTTCACATGTATGAACGCTGTTGTGTTTTCTTATGTATTTGGCGCCACAAATTTCCACAAGAAGTGGTGGGTGAAGTGGTTAGCAACGCGTGCCTTTTAAGTGTGAGGTCTTCTGTTCGAATCCTCATGAGCTCACCCTTTTCTTCTATTTCTACCTCTCTTTTATTGTTTAGGGTTGCCTACGGAAGCACAAGTTTGGGGAAAATGGAGTGTGCGCGGCGCATTTTGTTTGAACGATCCTATTACAATACTGAGAGAGATAGATTTCAATCTAGAATAGGCATGACAATTAAAGTAGTAGATTCAAATTCACCCGCAAGAGTCCTCCTTGTACACAGAGAGGAACGGTTTAGGAAACTGTAAATCGATACAAATAAAGAGCGTGGAACAGTAATAGTAATAGCTGAAATGTGTAATACTAGAAAGCAAAGCAGAGCAGGGCAGAGCAGATACCATACTGGTCAGTTTATTCACGCTAGTAATGGATCTTCAGGGCATGGTGTTGATTCATTAGCCAGACGATGGTTAAGAGCTCACCACCACAGCTGAGCTGCTTGGCATGGGAATCCTTGCTGCATTCTTTTGACGTGAAGGAGAGAAGACGTAACCATGAAGAAAGAATCAGCTGCAACATATAATGGAGGTGATTTAATTGTTTCCTGTGTTCTTTAATTTCCTCTCGTGCCTCATCAGTGAATACCAGTATGAAATCTTCAAGTCTGCGAACAGATTGGACCTTGGAGCGTATCCCGACAGTTGCTGAATGCCGTCCAGAATCATAAGTTGCGGGATCCAGCTCATGTAACAGCTTCAAGGCCCAGTCAGCACCAAGCATGAGAGTTTCATTTCTTTCCTGGCCACTGTCAACCGAAGTCTCATACATCTCTAGAAGGATGATGGCAAGCTCGGCCTCTCTTGTTGTTTGTGAACCGCTGGATGGTCTTCCATGCCATATTCTCTCCAAATCGAGGCACACCTTTTTGTAGTCGCTGGCCTCGTGACCTGGTGGCAATACCATGTGCTGGCGTTCAGCCAGGAGGAACATCATGTAGTCTGATAGAGCTCGGATCTGCTTCTCATATTCCGCTGATGCTTCATCTTCTATCCTTGGCGACGGATGCTTGCACAAGAGGAAAATGTCTGTGGCGACGTGGAATGCAATGAGGTTCCTTTCGAAACTATAGTTCTTGGCATTAGACCTCATATAATCACCGAGTTCACTTGATGGATGCCTCTTGACAATATAATAAATATCGATATCATAATGAAGATAGGTTTCCAACAACTGATCCTTGACATTCATCATCCACTTCCTCGGTCCAGCGCGAAGAGAAAACAACTTCTCGAGCCGGCCCCGAGGAGGAGGAGGAGGAGTAGAGAACGCCTGCAACAAGTTTCGCTGTCCGACGCCCGAGCTCGGCAACAACCTGTGCCCACTTGGTCCGCTTCTCAGTGACAGCCGCGACAGATCCAGACAGACGAGGAAGCGACGAAGAAAATACCATGATTGCTTCCCAGCCAGAATAGCCCGACCACCTGCCTTCTTCAGCCAGCGATGGCGACCTTTGCTTTCTTCTTCTTCGTCTTCCTCTATATCAACCAAGAATGCATATGTCCATGTAGACCCTAGTGCTCTCAGCAGCCATCTCAGATCCAACATCAGGGTACCAACAAGCAAGATGTATGTGACCACCAGATCTGCACTCACCATGGCCTGGCCCAGTTTATGGTGGAAGAGATAGAGCGCGGTGGAGGTGGCGAGCGGCGAGAGGACACGGATGGTGTAGCCAGCCCAAGTGTGTACCACGCTTGCCTTGGTGTACAAGATGTCGTACATGAGTGACGCCTCCATCTCCACCACCTTGCTCACCTCCTTCCAACCAGAATAAGAACTCAGATAACCACCACTGTTGACTTCATTCTCAGCGAAGGCACCCATGATGATACTGAGGTGGCCGTGAGCTTGAAACAGGGCGTCATCATTATCCCACTCTTGTTGGAAGCGCCGTACACCCTTTTTCTCGTTTGAGCAGCGAATGTTGGCAAAGGAAGCTCGGTATAGTGCAACTGCCCTCTCCGCAAACTTATAGGAACCAAAGAAGAGCATGATGAAGAAGGCTGCGCGCAGAGCCCCATCGCCGTGCATAAATCCTTGATTGTATGAGCCATAGATAGCTCCTCCAATTTGAACGATGAGACCGACGATGCGGGGCACCGACAGCCCTTTGTTCTCCAAGGCATAGCTGGTGATGTTGTCCGGGCGACCAAGGTGGAGCAGGAGAAACGGCGCCCAGAACGCAAACATCAGCTGCTCTCTATACGCGGTCGCGATGTCGACCAACTCCTTCAACTGCTGCTCGCTATACACAGTCGCGGTGTCACCCAACACCTTCAGCTGTTGCTCGCTGTTTGCGGTGTCGAGGAACACCTTGCCGAGGGCGAATGGCGTGCCATACTTGGTGAAGTAGTACGCCAACCACACAAGAAACCTCCGCACGCCGGAGTCCCTACGCCGACGGATCCCGGCTAATAGGGCCAGGGTAAGATGCGCAGCGAAGCTCAAAAGAACCAGGGCCCGCGTCAGCCACAAATTCATCCACTCCTGAGTCTCCTTGCCAATCCAAAATCCAGCCATACCCAATAACCCTCCTGCACTCAAATGATCTAGGTTAATACATGCAATCATCTACTGCTAGATCAACTCGTTTGCTAGATGAACCAGTTTGTGCTGTATCTACATGCTACAGAGATTATGATACAGTACTGATTAACGTATCACCGTGAAGGCCGACGAACTACAGGTTGGATTGGTCTCAAGTTCAGAGTCACAACTGGAGATATAAATCTGGATAAAAGAAGAGAGTTGGGGTGAGCAAGGAGGAAGAATACGTTGCACAAAAGCATGATGTCATTGTGTTGCTCATCTAATAACGTTTTATTTAATGTGCTTTCTGGTCGATACTAACACTACAATCTTGTGGTGTATTTATGGCACATAGCAACTACCAACTGATTCATGAATTACACTATCATATACTACCTCCGTCCAATTACGAAACCATTATATTTTGTGCCAAATTTTGATCATAGATTGAACCAACAAAATGTTCAGGCATGTCACAAAAAATTATATCATTGAAAACTATGTTCAAATGCGAATCCAACGATATAATTTTTGTTAACATGCATTAATATTTTATTAGTTAAATCTTTGATCGAACTTTGACACAAATTACAAAGTAAACAAATAAACTAGGACGGAGGTAGCACGTACAAGAGTGTACAACTACTCTGCTACAAATAACGAGCAAACAAAGAATTCCTCCACTGTCTATTACTCGTGCTATTCTTTGACATCCGACAAGATAGAGTGAGCAAACAAAATGTAGAAAAGGGGATTAAAAGATCCACATACACAAGGGGCAGATCGAAAGAAAATGAAAGGAAAGGTAAGGGGAATAGGCGAATTGAAGCTTGCCTTGCCTGCAACGAATGAACCTCAAGCCGGGTGAACTGAAGGTTGACGGGATTTGTTCAGCATGGGATGCAATGTGATATCTTGCTACTGGAGGAGGACATCACAGGGACTGGGTGTGGGAGGATTGGGGATAGACTGTAAGACGGGGATGGGAAAACAGCAAAGGGAGATGAGATGCAGAGAGAGGTCTTGTCCAGTCATGACTTGCTCCAACGCCTTTATAGTCGGCTCACCCAGTGCTTTCCGGGAAACTCCAGTACCGCGTGGGTCATGGTACCGTGGACGAGGGTCGTCGCCTCCCAGCTTAGGTCTACTATATCCTCTCTCACACACGGTTTCCCTCGCCAGTCTCACACGGTTTGCTGCACCCCTGGACACACAATCGAAACATATCTTCGGTCTCCTTGCACGCAAGTACGAAGGCACTTGGGTCAGGTCCCTGGTTTTGCCTTTTTATTTTGGCTTCCGATTGTTAAACTTTTATATAAACAAACAAAAATTCCAATTTTTTTTTTCATATCCTTGTTTCTCGTGACCAGCATTAAACAATATCCATTTTGAATATATTTTGCCGACTTAAAAATATATATTAATTTTCAATGTTGGTGCAGAGAGAGGTAGTGTCTTTTTTAACTCTGGAGAGCGAGGTAGTAGGTGAGATTCAGATCTCTTCTCTTCTTCAATAACCGGTCGTGGATTCACAATATGCCTCTTTTGTTTCCAGTATTTAAAGACGGCCAGACATCTTTTTTGAGATAACCATGAAAAAGTATACCGACAAAGTGACCCCTCATCAACACCAAACTAACCATATTGAAGGCATAATCTAGAGTGAGCATCAGTAGGATGCTATTTCCTTGAAAGTTGCACTTACAACAAGAGAAACACATGCTCTCACACAAAAGCAAGGTCTGGACTGACATAACATAATCAGCTGTGGATTCATAAGATGCCTCTTTGTTTTCATGCATTTGTACACTTTATGCATGCCTGGAATATTAACACTCAACTTGCTACACAAAACCTACTCACACTAAAGCGTGACTTTGGGAGTTCCAAAAGCAATTCCATGCATGGCCAGAAGTAAAGCGGATCTGGAACCCGTTTTCATTTTATAAACACATTTACATCCACAATGTATATGATGGATATCTTCTTCTTCTTCTTCTTCTTCTTGCAATGCATCGTCATACTTCCATTTCAAGGCCACAAAAGTGCAACCCTCTCTCTGAGTCTGAATCCGCAAGCACTTGCCAGGGCAACCTCTTACGAAAATGTGCTCGTAATGGTAAGTTGGACCATAGTCCTCCCTCCGTTGTGCGATACATGGGTCTGAGTTGTCAGCGAGAACAAGGAGTTGAGAAGGGTCTATGGAATGTGCTCGTAACAAGAATGTACAGATTTCTGTGAAATTAATGCAATAGGTAATGTCTTGGTGCAGCGAAGATAACATGGAAAGATTCGTACAGATGAAACATCTGCATGTGTACTCGTCTTGCCTGCCGAAAGCTGGTTGCAAAGCCTGCCCCGGTTTTTCAGACACGCTGCTTGATTACTTTTTATATCTTATGGTTACAAATGTACCTTGTCATGATGTTACTTAATTGTGGTAATTATGTCGCCGGACAGTTATGAAAAATAAACAAAGGGTTGTGTTGCCGTTCCATTATTTTACTTTGTTCTCTTCACCTTTCTAAAGACATTATGGCGGTCTATTTAATGGAAATCGACGAGAAGAATCGTTGTTTTTTTCTTTAAAAAGATAAATACCTAGCCACACCGTTTCACTTGCTCTGTCTTCATTGCCCTGTTTCTTCTCCTTATCAAAGTCTCAGCATAGGAAAAGCTGTTTGGAGCTATCAGCAGCTACTGTAAGTTGCATTCTTGAAAGGGGTTTAGTTTCAGTACACTATATACTGGAGAAGGAGATCACTGGGAGGACTGGGGATAAATTGCAGCATGGGTTGAGAAAACAGGTAGGGAGATGAGATGCAGAGAGCAGAGGTAGTAGTATTTTGTAACTCTGCAAAGAGAGGTAGTAGGTGAGATTCAGATCTATTTTCTTCTGCAATAATCGATCATGGATTCACAAGATGCCTCTTTTGTTTCCAGTATTTTAAGAAGGCCAGACATCTTTTTAAAGATGAATTTGAAAAGGGATACCGACATTGTTTTTCTATACCGTTTCTCAACAATTCCTCATCAACACCAAACCTACATATTGACAAATTGAAGGCATAATCTAGAGTGAGCATTAGCCGGATACTTACTTGGAAGCTGCTTGGAGGGGTAGAGAAGCACATGCCCTCACACGAAAAAAATAGGTCTGGAGTGACATAACGTAATCGGTCGTTGATTCACAAGATGCCTCTTTGTTTCCATGCATGTATACACGTTATAAATGCCTGAAATGCTGACCCTCAACTTGTGACACAAAACCTACTCAAACAATATGATTGATATCTTCTTCTTCTTCCAATGCATTGTCGTACTTACATTTTAAAGGCCACAAATTCATTGCAAAAAAATGCTAAATTGTTTCAACTTTTATGGCCTGCTAAATCAACAACCAGCTTCACCGATAAAAAAAAACATTTTATGTTAAAAAGCTTCAATCCGTATAGACATATAGAGTAGAAGTTTGTACATGCTTTTTTTGTGTATTTAGAGATGCCACACCGGTTGTACGGGGCTTGAGGGCTCCTACTAATTGATGTTAGATCCGTAAAATACTACTCCCTCTATAAACTAATATAAGAGCGTTTAGATTATTCGAAATTGATGTACACACGACATGGTATGGCCGATGTGCAGCCGACGCAGACTCTACACCGTGAGATTGACATGAATCTAATTAACAAACGGCCTGATGGGCAACGTCGTCTGAGTATCGTCTGAAAGCATCGGCTGCATAGCAATGCTCTAGATTATTTTTGGCAGCCAACCGGTACGGTGCTATCAGGCATCCAATATGCAGGCCACTCACAGAAATATGCTGGTAATGGTAAGTTAGACCCTGGTCCTCCCCCGTTGTGCGTTACACAGGTCAGAGTTGTCAGCGAGAACAAAGAGTTTATATGGAACCGGCATGTTAAGATTTGTTTAGTCACCCGTAAAATTAATACAATTAGTTGCTGCCTTGGTGCATCAGAAATAACGTGGTAAGATTCCTACGGATGAAACATCTGCATGTGTATTCGCGTTGCCGAAAGCTGACGCCAAAGCATACCGTTTTTATTTCGTTTTTTATAGAGGACACTTTGCTTGATTATTTTTTGTTTCTTACGGTTACAGATATACCTTTTTATTTGAAAAGGAGGAAGACCCCAGGCCTTTGCATCTGAATGATGCATGCAACCACTTTATTAATTATTAACACAAGACCTTACAAAGTTATATAACAGTAAGACTAAAGCCACAGTCTAGGCAACATCTGTCGGTACTCCTATCAAATTGATGAAGGGATGCTGATAGTCTGGGCCTAATACCAAACAGACCTCGCAGCCAAACCTAACATCTAAGACCCGAGGTCCCAACCAGGATGCCTGACGGGTATGGGGCACCCACCAGTCTGACGCACTCTTCAAGCTGGACGCCTGCCGGGTATGAGGCTGCCGCAGCCATGTGCCACCAATCCGTCTTTAGTGATGTACCGCTGCATGTACCTTGCCCTGTCTAGCTGCCGTCGACACCGCCACGACGCCAGACAACGCCACCATCCTGCGCTCGTCCATCATTACACGCCCACCGGCGAGACCCCGCTGCTCCATGCCGCTGAGACCCGCTGTCGATGTGTCAGATACCACGCCGCTCCTCCTCTTGTCCCCTCCAGCCAACACTTGCTCCAAAACGATGCCGCCAGGAGGGATAACGACATCGAAACGTCGCCATCGTCCGATCCATTAGATCCAGATCTAGGGTTTCCCCCGGAACCTTCCGATCAGGTTGACATGACCTGCAACGACGATGCCTCGAGAAGGGAACGACGTCCGAGACGCCGCCATCGTCCGCCATGACCGCAGTCAGGCGCGATTTTCATCGGAAGCCACGTCGTCCCGATCTCGCGGTTGGCTGGAACCGAGCGGTGCCCGCCGCCGAACCGGTGACGCCGCCGCCGATCCGGTCACGCCACCGCTGTGCGACGCCCCCACCAGCTC